ATTTCGATGCCTACCATGAGCGTCACGCTCAGTGACATCGACGATCTGGGCAAATTGACGTTGCAAAGTCCAACCGAGACTTCAACGAGCGAAGTGGGCGAATGGCGCGACCGCGTTGCTAGCGTTGCCAATTTTGTGCATACGCCTCGTGTGTTCCGAGCGCTTGCCATCCCAAAACGCGGACGATCACGAGGAGTATTGCAAAAGGTGCTAATGGACATGCTCGCCCACTCGACAATACTAGAAGACGAACTCCACAACATTCGAGCCAGAACGATGGTCGTCTGGGGCGACCAGGACGAAGTGCTCGACGTGTCGTGCCTCAAGGTGATCGACGACAAACTCAACGTTACGCGCAAACACGTGTTGGTGCTCGAAAAATGTGGCCACCTCATTCCTAGCGACAAGCCGGTGGAATGCGTTGACGTGCTCAACAAATTTCTAGCGGACGAGGAGCTCAGCTTCACGTTCGCCCTCGCCGGACAGCAGGCCGTCATGGCTTTTTAGTTGCAACACCGTTCCCGCCAGAACGAATGGCGAGGTATTTATCATTTATAAGCGGCATGAGTTAATACATTGCGTCTTAGGAAAACTCTTCTATGCTGTAGCGAGGTTGAGACAGATAAGAGTGTGAGGAATGCATGTTGTATTTGCCAATTAGAGCTTGTCGCTAACTAAATCTCTAAGCTCTATTTTTAGCGCGTTTGGTGTCCGACTATATGATTTCACTTTTCGTTTTGGTCCAAAGGCGGAAAACCATTTTCCGCGATGCCGAATCCGCTGTTTATGTCAGTAATCGATGCTGTACGATTCGTGTCAGGGTTTTCGGCCAAGTTTGCGAGTGTGGACGAGTACAATTGGAGCTACATCAAGCGACCAGGCAAGGACGAGAACAAAGATGTTGTGGTGTTCTTGCATGGCTTCAGCTCGATGAAGGAGTCTTGGGTTCGCGTTGCGCGAGGTATTGACAAGCGGTACAAGATCGTGATCCCAGATCTTCCTGGCCACGGCCGCACAACTCCTCTGGATGCACTTGCTAACTACTCAATACCTAGCCAAGCTCAACGACTCCATGAGTTTATCGAGAAGGAAGTCCCCGCTGACAAGAACATTCACTTGGTCGGATGCTCTATGGGTGGAATGCTGGCTGGAGTGTATGCTGGGCTATTCCCTACTCGAGTGAAGACATTGACGATGATCTGTCCAGCAGGGATCACGATGCCCACTAAAAGCGATTTACTGGTAATGCTCGAGGAATCCGGACGCAACCTACTGCTCGCGCACACCCCTGAAGATATTCATGAAATGAATTACGCACTGAGTTTCAAGCCACTGAAAATTCCAAATACTATTGCATCGATCGTCGCAGCAGAGCGTAAGAAGCAGCTACCAGTGCTGGAGAAGATCGTCAATGATGCTCTTCAGAACCCCATTGCGTTGGAAGAGCAGCTGCCTAATATCCGAGCCAAGACGCTAGTGATGTGGGGAAAACACGACCGTGTGCTGCATGTTTCGTCGGCGGAAGTGCTTCGAGAAAAGTTACACCCGGAGACACAAGTGCAAATTCTTCTGTTTGACGATTGCGGCCAC